CCAAGAAGTCTTAATCCGCCACTGCCTGGGATTGCCGTCCCTACTTACGTCAATCGGACAATGACACAAGCTTGGCAGATAAAACAGGTCACAATACATTTACAATGCATTTTTGATCCTTTTCTAGAAGAGAAAGAGAATTGTTAGAAGATTCAGCCTAAACATGACAACAGCATTCCATACAGGGGTGAATAAGAAATTTGTAGAGATAGAGGATGGAATTGGGAAAAAAGAGATAAAGTAAGCAAGTTGAGAGCAAGGTGAGAGGTCAATAGTGAATGATAATCCAAAAAAACTAAAGAAGAGGACTCAGGTCTTAATATAGGAACAACTACAAAAATGTGATAGTTGTTTGCAACAAATCCTATGTTTTGTTGGAGTTAAAGTTCATAAGCTTTTACAAGTCTCAAGCTGTTACAGAAGAGAAGTTAGATTCAAGATTAACTGCATGTACTAAGCGATCAAAAAATGATGACTTGTTGTCGAGACACAAATATTAAGTTGATCAGCAAATAAGCCAATTAGATTTTATAATGTCAGGAAGAAATGTAGATAAGAAACAATATAGCCCCAAAGAGAGAACCTTGTGATCCCCAGAAGTTACTAGAAATAAAAAAAAGGTTAGCATTTAAGAATGACTTCAATACTGCGGTTAAGAAAAAAGTTTAATAATCTCTTTCATAGGATACAAATCCTATGAAGTTTACGGAGAAGAAAAAACATCGACTACACGAAGTCTACCTGTGTCGAATTGACAAAGATAGAATTTGTTTCTACGCCGACATTTTGATATAATTTCAGTCTTTTTATTTAGTAAACTATTGTCATTATTTGAAATAATTTCGTATTTTTCATTAAGGCATAATTTGCACGATTTTGTTGTCAGGTTATACGCTTCACATCTAATTATTTTCCAATTGATCACAGGATTTTTATCATTATCTTTTAAGTTCCAAACCTCCTTTGACAGCTCGGTATCGTTTCTATACTTGAGGATATTAAACGATTTCAAATGGTTAGCATATCTCAGTTTAAAAGATGTTTCACAAATACCAATGTATGATTTTTTTATTGAGGGGTTATCCGAAGTGATGGTTGCTTGGTATACAATGTTGTTGGTCAAGCAGTTATTTTGTAAAGGACAATCGTTTTTATTAAGGCAGTTGCAGTTATCTTTATTAATGGTTAGATTTTTGTTTAGGATGTGCTTGTTATGTAAATTTATTATTGATTTTATGTTTGGCATGCAGCTGTAGCTGGTTTTTACTGTGTTTTTGTTGAAAATTTTGCGTAGTCTGTTGTTAATTGTAAAATGTTTGACAATCAAGTTTAAAAAGCTTTTTCCTATATTTGTGGTGACATTTATGTTATAGGGTGGGTTGTACCAGATTATTTTACGAGTACGGTTTTTCTTTAGTTGTTGTTTCAAGTTTGGTCGGTAAGATAAGTTATGTTTATAAACAGAGTTTCGTAGTGCTTCATTATAAATAGGTACATATTTTTTTAACACCTCTTCGCTGCTAGAATTTCCGGACAATCTGAGTTCAACATTTTGCGGTAGTTGTTTTAGTATATTAGGAGGGTGGTTAGATTAAGTATGTATGTATTTTAAAGTATTATCAGGTTTGCAGTATGGTTGGTATGACTGGTCGCAGAGGTTAAGAGTTACGTTGAGGTAATTCACAATTTTGAGGTTGCACTGTAAAGATACTTTAAGATTGTTACATTTGAATAAGTGAGTGATATGCTTTTTAATTTTCTCCATTTGCTGACCAGTAGCATTTTTAAAAACTGCTAATCCGTCATCGCAGTATAAGCCAAAGTCATATTTACTATAAAAGTTTGAAATTTGAAAATGAATGAATATCCCAACAAACTCACATATCTCTGCACCATCAAACGCACCCATGGTAACGTCAAACAAACCGCCGGACTTTATATATATATATATATATATATTATATATATATATATATATATATATATATATATATATATATATATATATATATATATATATATATATATATATATATATATATATATATATATCTTTGCTTGTCGTTTTTATAATTGTTATAGTTGGTTTAAATTATTGTTATGCATTTTATTGTTACATATTTTTTTGTTGAATAGAATAAAATTGAGTTAAACTAGCCAGTGAAAAAAAGTAAACAACTATACTGCAAAGAATTTAGCTTTGATTTATTTTGATTAAAGACAACAATATGAAAAGTTAAAAAAAAAACAACTTAATAAGCTTAATAAAAGATAAAGGTTGTATGAACATCTACATCGAACATATTAATTTTTATTTATTTAAATAAGTTTAAAAATGTTTAAAAATCTATTTTATAAAAAATAAAGGTGCACCGATGCACTATGCGTTGCTCTTATACAAAATGAGGAAATAGGCATATAAATAAAGAAGGACTTAAAATATTTAATTTATTTTTTCACAAGTCATCAAATTTTTATTTATATTTCTATATTTAAAAGAATCATATTCGGTTTTCATAAAAAAACAATTTATTGTATTTTTTTTCGGTTAGTCCGAACTAATTTTAGATTTGTCCGGAAAACTACACAAGTCCGGATGATTTTATTCAAAAAAAAATTAGGCGCCTATTTTTTATAGAATTTTACAAACTATGTATATGAACACTATTTCAAAATAAACAATATCATTGAATATAATAAACAACTCTGCTATCATATGATACTTGGCTCTTTGTATTCTTTCACAGTTTCTCAACGTTCTATTCTAATAGATGTTTTTAATAACTTGTGGCTTTGGAAATAGCCGTTTTTTAAAAAATCAACGCAGAACAGCTCATCAGTATGATTCTTCATGGTCTTACTTCCTAAAATAATTAATTGCTTGTTAAAATTGATTAAATTATTTCTTAAGTTTATTTTTAAAAACATAAAAAACGCAACTTTGAATTGTTAATTAACCAAAATTATGAGATTGCCTAACCAAAAAAAAATCAATCATAACTATTAACAATATTAATAATAAAACTATTTTACCTTTATTTTAAGCAGTTATCAGAAGAACTGTCATTTTGCTTTCTTAAACTATTTTGTTTTCACTCTTTTTTTATCCATTTTGTTTTTTTTGCAAAAGAGGTACATATCAGATGTCATAAACAAATAATTAGCTGTATACCTAGTATTTTCTGCAAAAGAGGTTAAAGCATGACCAGTTCGAGCAGTTTTGTTTTCCTTATTTCTGGCTTCAATAGCACTCTCAGACAAAGAACCTATCGGATACTTAAAATACCTTATAAAAGAAGTACCATGAACTATCACTCTATGCACAGATTGTGACATAGGTATGGTTTTTAAAAATTTATCATTAGTTATGATTGCAAATAGATGTTCAGATTTCTGTTTGAAAACCTTTATATCTGGTCTTGTAGTTGTTCTGTTTAATCAATGAGTAAATCTCGAAACAACTTAATCATTCTGATATTCAAGTTTAAAATTCTCCCTGTCACAATCGGGTTATTAAAAAATTTGCGAGCAACATTTCCAGTATTGGTTGTTCCACATCCTTTCCTGACAAAAGAAACTCTTATATTCAGTTGTATCTTGAATAAATGCTGGAATTTTTTTTTGTTTTCAATAAATTCTTTACTCTTTTGTAATGGAACATTTCTTCCTTGCTTAACAGCTGGGAGTTTACAAGCAGTATTGAAAATCCAATCCATACAGTGCATCCATAGATAAAGACTGCAAATTCCAAGTTTCAAAACATGCTTGTTTAAATTAACATTTTTTTTCCAAATAGTTTTCAAGTTAAACTCCTTAGAATTTGCAAGGCATACATGGCAGGACTGAGATGAAATTTTTTTTTTAAGCATATTTGATACAACAGCGTTTAGTGTTTTGCCATCATTCATTGTGGTATAAATAGTTGACAAACTAGACTTTACTACAAAAGTACTTTCACCAAGTTTAAATTCACTATTCTTCAATAAAAAATTTCATTTTTCAAATGTTCAAATTTTTCCTGAATAAAACTAGCAGTCTCTTTTGCAAAACAAAAAAGAAGATGACGGGTTGCATCTGGACTATTTGGAATTAAATTTTTCCATATTATTTTTTCTCCACTTTGGATCTCCAGCAGTACAAACACTATACTATACACAGAGGGATCATTTACACCTCTTTTCATAGTTGCTGAATTTTGAAACTCAGATTGATCACTTTGACCATCACCTCCTACTTTGTAAATAATTTGTACATTATCACGCTCTTCTTGTGATAAACTCATTATGCAGTTACTTTCATAATCCAAAAGATATTCAAACACTCTAGAAACTGAATGCCTTATCATATGGAAAAGACTACATTTTACTTCGGTTTCAGAATATTCAACCTGTTCTGGATATGTCAATTTTTTGTATTGCTTCAACTTGGTTAAACCTGGAGGATGACGATTATGATTCACTATAAGATTCACAAGATGACGATTATGAGTCACTATATTTTTAAATTCAGTCCATGTTCTATCTGTAAGTTTCAAAATACAAAGAGCTTGCAATGACAAATTTGAACCATATAAAATAGCCCTACCATCAGTAGAAGAATTATATTTAAACCGTTTGACAGCATGTTGCAGTTCTTCCACCTCTCGTTCTCTAAGACTATCTGATCTTTTACGCTTCATCCTGTTTGTAAGCTTAATAAAAGACTTTCTAGGTTTTGGTGTACAAGATGTATTGACTGCAGATGATTTAGGTACTCTACATGGTACAATATAAATAATAAAAAAATACATTGAAACATATATACATTTTGAAGGTTTTGTGAAACATATGTCAAACAATATGTATGTGTGTGTGCAAAATAAAAAGAGGGAGATACATTTATCTATGCATACCTGTTTACATTGGATCCATGAGTACGAAGCAGTAATTCCCCTTCTTTTATTTTACGCTCACCCTGCTTGATGAGTTGATTACCCTGTTTAATCAGATTTTCACCTTTTCTAATTAATAGCAGTTCTTCCTCATGTGTTCTAATCTCTTTTTCAGAATCTTTTTCTAATCTATATATATATATATATATATATATATATATATATATATATATATATATATATATATATATATATATATATATATATATATATATATATATATATATATATATATATATATATATATATATGTATATACTTATATATATATATACTATTGCATTATAGTATATATATATATATACTATAATGCAATATTTATTACTTATTTATAATAAATCAATATAGAATATATTATACTCACAAGAGATATTTGCATTGTTGATTTTGATCCAAAAAATGTTTATATTTAGTAAGAAAGAACTTTTTTCTTTTTCCACACTCATTAAATTTTTTTATTAAATTAAAAGCCAGACTTTTGAAAATGTTGAAAGTCACAGTGCAATCAGCATAAAGTGATAAAATCTTGGACTGCAAAAATTTAGCACATTCAGATACATTTTTACTCGTGAAAATATGCCTTGGAGGAAAATTATCAGCCAGAAGTTTACTAAGATTAAAAGTAACCATTTTTAAAAAATTCTAAATTACGATGAGATTATAAATCACGATGAGGTTATAACTTAAAGACTAGAAAAGAATGTTCCGCCCGCATCCAGTTTTTTCTTGACAAAAACTAACTAATCGGTTTTTAATAAATCGAGGTAGATTTATTAAAATTATTTTGAATTGATTTTATAGCATGTTACTACAGAGGTAGCCAGAATATTATTTCACTTATAATAAGTCAATTTGTTTGAGAAAATTTTAAAAAAATAAAAAACTGGCTACCTCTGTAGTAACATGGTCTAATCGATCAATCTTTACAGACACCCAAAAACAATGATCCAAACATTTTTTTTTTCTTTTCTTGGTTTTTAATTTACAAAATGTATCATTTATTAAAAAATGTGCAAAAAAAATGAAGAAATTTGAAAATTATCTTATGTAATTTAAAGATTTAGTGAAAACAAGGGTTTTTTTTTACCCCTGAAAATCCCGCACCTAAAAAGACAAATTTAAAAAAATTAAAAAAAACTTTTTATTATTAACTAATACTAACTTGTTTCAGTTAAAAAATATTTAAAATATTAAAATTGAAATTTTTTTTCTGAAAAGTAAGTAAAATCCAATTTCCGCTTTGCGACGCATAGTGCGATGCATCGGCATCGGCCTGCCGATGTATCGGCCACTAAGCCGATGCATCGGCATCGGCCTTGATAACTATCGGTCGATGCCGATTGTTTAGAAAACTTTTAAAGTTTATCAAATTCTCATTAAATAAAACTTATTAAACTCAAAACTTTTTTACATACAAAAGATTTTACATTTTACACAGAAAAAGATCTTTACAAAAATCATTCAAAATGTACTGTTAATATAGTATTTGTATCAATCAAGATATAGGTAAAATATTAGATTATAATAGTACGATTTAGGATCTGGTTTTCTTAATTGTACCGATAGCATAAATTTTTTAAAATGTAGTTCCTTATCAAATACCAACGTTTAAATTTTGACATATTTCAACTTTTTTAGAACAGTTTATCCCCAAATTATAAAATACAATAAAGTCTCATTGTTTCTACTTTGTATTTTTTCTCTCTTTTTGACTTTTTTCTTAGAGGGTACGATATCGGCAACCTTACCCTAAATGCAAAGTATAAAGCAAACTTATTAATAATAAGTTTTATATAGGCATATATGCAACCACTAAACTAAAAATTTTTGAACTGTTTTTAACAGGGTTCCCTACTTTTTAAGTGTTTTCTTATAATTTATAAGAAATTTTTTCTTAAATGATGATAGATTATAAAAAGAAAATTGCTTTAAACAAAGATTTTTTTGAAACTCTTTCTGTTATTCTTTACAATCAAAATGTTTCATTACATTAATTCCATTCAAGTGTATATTTCCATCATATATCCAATATCAGGTATCCAATATCCAAAAGTAGGCATCGATGTACCCCTAATAAAAAATTATTGGAAAAAAAGCAACATTTTTATCCATTATTTTATGTATATATCTTTTCTTTCTTAAAATCCTTTTTTTTAAATGCCAAAGTAAGAGTAAGCTGAAAAAAAAAACTTTGAAAAAAGCCTCAAATTTATACAAATCCAATAAATCTATACAAATCTAATAAATCTATACAAACCTATACAAGCCAATTAATGGAAACAGATGAGTTTTAGTTATATAAATGTTAAACTAAAACCTTTACTTGAACTTGGTTTTTTTTTACATGCTTTTTGTTTTGATGGATACGTGAATTATACGTGTTTTTATCACAAAATAAGCACTGTAGTTAGTTACTAAAATTTTTTTTTATTTTTTATAAAAAATGAACTTTTAAAATGAGTTTCTAGTTTATAGAAACAAAATCATTTGCAATGAAAAACTTTAAAAAAAAATAAACTCGATGAACCAAATGTTTAAAAAGTATTTAGAGGAATTGAAGTTAAAGTTTTAGTGAAATTTTACAAAAATTTTGAAATCTGTAAATAAATATAAATTTAGTTTTGAATAGTAATGGGTTTAACTTAGTTTTTTCGCCTTGACATTTTGGGTAGAGGAGCTGGGCCCAGGTTTTAGGGCATTTTTCTTTCATCCAATCAAAATTTTCTCAACTTTCAAGGTTTCCTCAATCGCCACTGAAGTATAAACTCATAATAAATAATAAACTTTTATTAGCTACAAATAATGAGTTTTAAACTATGCATTAGTAGTCAAAGATTTTTAGCATACTCCTTAAAGAGGGGAATTTTTCATGATCGAAATGATATAAGTATTGTTGGATATATTGTACTAGATTTTCAGAGTTGATTCCGATTCTCTTAATGATCACACATTCCCTCGCTTTTTAAAAAACTTCAATTTTTTTTATGTATAAAAGTTACAAAATGCCGACATAATGTTTTTTAAATAATACCAGTGCCGGATCTAGGGGGGGGGGGCTAGGGAAGGCTATAGCCCCGGGCCCTTATAATACTTTTTATTTTATTTTATGATAGTCATTTTTAGTCTCTGGCCCAAAAACAAAAATAGCCCCGGGCCCTAAGAAGTCCTAATCTGCCACTGATTAATACTTTTTTTAACAGCCTATTTATGAGGGTTAACATAAAATAGAAAAAAATATTCGTCTCGAGTATTCGAGTTTTAATTAAGTTATTACATTTTTTTTACTTAATTTTGCTCTCTTAATAAAACATTTAAATTTCTGTACGTACTAACCAGTTTTTTAAATAATCATCTTTCAGGACCCAATTGTCTTAAAATGTTTTAGTAGATTAATGCTTATTTTCTTTATTTTAAAAAAAACATTACCTTGAAAATAACTATATACTAATTTTGTCGAGGCTTGTATTTTAAAATTCAGCATACCAAAATAAAAAAAGTTAAAAGTAAAAAAGTTTAATTAAACACAGTTCGACGCGTTGGTTTAGCAAGGTTCTAACTGAATTTTTGAGGAAAAAATTTTTTAATTTTGTTTTTATTATTGTTTTTATTATTTGTTTATGTATTTTTTTTATTTATTTATTGTTTTTTTTGGTTGATGTTTAAAAGACAAATAAATAAAAAATAATTATATAAATACTTTTGTTAAGGCATTAAAAGAAAAAAGAAAAAAAGATTTATTTTCTTATCTCCTAAGATAAAGAAAATCAGTTATAACCTTGTCAAACCAACGCGCCGAGTTGTAGTGGTCACTTTACTTGACTCATCAAATCAGAGTTGTTAACAAGGCCAAAAGTAGCAAGGCCCAAGGCCACATGTTACAAAGCCAAGGGCAAAGGTTTCAAGGCCAAGGTCAAGAGTTTCAAGGTCAAGGCATACGCAAACATTTTCAAGGCCAAAAACATTGAGGCCAATCATTAACAAAACTGTAGATAGTAAATGCTGTGACAATAAAACCACATGTTAAATTAGACCAAGGTTATCCGCAGAATTCAAGTCAATAAAAAAATATACTTATAAAAATACATAAAAATATAGTAATTAAAACTTTTAATTCTTTAATTTTATGTATTGCTAAGATAACTGGCATCCAAATTAAAAAATTAGAATTTTTAGTTACAGCCATTGAAACTTGTTTCACGGAAGGAACCTATCGTTCCTTCTGTGATATAAGTTTTAAATACCTATAACTAAAAACTTAGCATTCTACTAACAAAATCTTTTCTCAAAAATAATTAGATATTTATAGGTAGTATATTAGGTATTTTTGCCCCCTTATAAACGTTTTTTTTTTTTTTTTTTTAATTTTCTAATTAAGTTTACAAAGGTCCCTTTAAAAAACAAGACTTTTCAATCTTGTCCTCCTGTAAAAAAATCAACTGCAGTAAAGTTTAGTAAAAAACTCTATTAAAATGCAAACACGAAAGAAAGTTCTGGATTCTTAAAGAAAAGTTGAAAAGTTTAGGCCAAACTTATCAAGTCCAAGACCAAGGCCTTGATAAAATCGGCCTTAAAGCAAGACCAAGGACTAACAACTCTGCATTAAATCCAAAGACACAAGTTTTAATTAAACTGCATGTTTAGACTTTTTTTGTTTTCATCAGGTGTTTTAGAGCAATGTACAATTTAATGTATGATTTTACACAATTTTAATTACGAGAATAAGTTGTTTTTGAAGTTTTTGCAAAATACAAAATAATTAAATTTAAAATATACAAAAATAGCGCAAAATTTGTATTTTTAGCTTAGATGTGTGGCAAAAAGAAATAAAAAAGAAAACAAACATTAAAGTCTTTGAGGACTGATGCAAAGTTTTAACTTACGCTTATATCAAATTCAGGGCCGACGATACGGGAGGGACACAATCATCAATTTCTAAAAAAAATCAAGATTTTTCTCGAATAAAAAAAAAACCTTTTGAAAAAAAGTTGGGGTAACGGCACTTACCCCCTGGTGTTGTCGTCCTTAAAACAAGGATGTTTTTCAAAAAAATTAAAAAATCTGAACGAGATTGACAGAACAACAAGCGATAAAATAGATACTATAAAAATATACTGATATTTTTGATATTTTTGTGTGAGCTGATATTTTTGTGTGAGCTTGATTTTTTTGTGTGAGCTGCAACTAGTCTTATTTGCAAAAGTTAAATCATTTGTTTAGATTATTAGTTAAATTACTTTTTCGAGTAATGAGAACGAATCAAATTTATTATCTTATGGTAATACCTATTTATATCTCTATTTTTTTTCTTTTTTGAGTGTTTAATAATGAAAATATCTGAAAAAAAAAATTATATCGGCAACTTCTAATCAGTTTTCTTTTACGTTGGTTTACATTCTATTGTTATTTATCATAGAGAAAATTTACCCAGTTTGCATTAATGCACTCGTCCTTCTTCAGGTTGGTAACTAGTTGGCATAAACGCAGATATGCACAGATGATGTTTTGTACTTAAGTCTTTTTTATAAAAGCCTGTTTACATTTAAAGTTTCTATTACTGATTCTAAATTGCGCTTCAATAATAAAGTAAAGTAAATAACCTTAAATCCGTTTTTTTATTGTTAGAATTCACTAAATGGCTCAGCTTCAAAAATAAAACTAAATGATATATAATTTTCTACAAATTATTGTTATAAGTATCTTTATAAAGTATGGTTTTTATTTCTTCAAGTATGCCAACCCATAAATATATGTCAATACATATCAGTGCCGTGGCTAGTGGGTTGGAGATTCCCCCCTCCCCCTACCAAAAAAAAAAGAAACTTGTCCTATAAACCCAGGTTTCCTTAAAAATTTATTATTTAAAAAAAAAAAATGCGGGGGGCCTGACTTTGCTGGGACCACCGCCTCCCTTCAATGAGGGCGTGTGGCGTTTATATATATATGAATCAGAGCCTAGCCACGGCTCTGATTCATATATATAAAGAATTTTTATTTTGGTGAACTATTTTTTAAACATTCTTATCTATTCCGTATTTAATTCGAACTGATGGTAGAAATTTAATGTGACCGGTTTAACCCGGTTTTATTATAATTTTTATACACACGAGATCGTACATTTGATGTACAATTTATTTTTGTTTTGTATCGTAGGATTATTTAGATGACACAATGAAAAGCATATTTTTTGGTGATTATAAAACAAATAATAAAGAAAATTGTATCTTAAAGAAAGATGACACTGACAAACAAAAAAATATTGTTACATCTGAAAAAACAAATTCAGAAACTTTTTGTGTTGCGGCAAAGTATAATTCTGCCATTCCTAATGTAGCTTCTGAAAAAACATCTCAAGATGTTTTTAAAGTAGCTTGCGGTATTACTTCCTCATATCGTGTTGGATCTTTAAATAAATTTTACGGGAATTGGCGTATTTCAGCTATAAATAATGTACTCTCTGACCGATCTCACGATTCTAAGATATCAAACAGCCTTTTTTCACGTACTAGCAAAACTGATTTTGATCAATTCTGTGTAGGAAGAAAATCTACATTTGAAAATTTTAGTTGCCCTAACGTAAAACTTGCCTCAGAAGAAGTTGTTGAAATCATTAGTTGTTCTTCAACAAAAAACTCAAATATATATCCGACCAAAGTACTCGTTGAACCATCTGTTTCTCTACAATACATCGGCACACCGTTTAAAGGTTGTTTTTCTTTTGGCAATAATAATCCTGTTTTGAACAAGAATACGACAAGACAGTTTCAATTTTAAACTAGTCTGTTTTTAAAAGTATAAAGCTTAAACATTTAAGAAGCGAGTGTCGTATGTTTTGTATAGCTAAAAAAGAGAATTTTTTTGAGTTACATATGTTTTATATTAACGATTCTTTTGCGTTTACTACGAAGTTTATTTTATTGATTACTTGTTGATATTTTTATGCATATTTATTAGAGTACGATGTGTATTCTATGTATTACTTTTTGCTATTATTTTACATAAAAGATATTTTAAAGGTCTTTTATTAAATGTTTTTTTTCTTTTCTTTTTTCTTTTTTGAAATTGTTGCCGTTAAGTCCGGTAATCGTAACGAGTAGGAAAAGAAAGTGTGAAGAGTGAGAAAGCAGGAAATAATGTTCCAACAATTACTTAACAAAAACATTTTTAAAAAAAAATCGATTACACTTTGTTTGATCAAATAAACTCTATCAAGGTTTTATGATCGTTACTGCACTACTTTTTTTTCGATGTACTTTTCCTTCAACTGTTTGTTTATGCGATCCGTAAAAGAAGATTACTACTATAAGCAATTTAGAGTTTAAGGCAATAGAGTGCGAAATGGTTATCCTATTATTATTGTTTTTTTTATTTTATGTTTAGAATTCGTAATGATTGAAGGTTTTGTATGGAGTTGTTTTGGTGGACGAATAAAAACATAAAACATTTTACTAAAATCAATCCATTTAACATATTTATTATATTTGTTTTAATATTCTCTAACAAATGCATTTGTTTAAGTGGGCTCATAATAATAAAATTTTATGATTTTCGTTAATTTAGACATTCATAAATCGTACCTTAGCAGTTTTTAAACTAATAATTTATTTTAGCACATTTACATTATATTGTTTAATAGTTATATTTTTATAAATTGAATGTTCAATAAAACGCATGATTTTTCAATAGGATAAAATCTTGAAAAATTAGTGGTTTGTTGTTTTCTGTATTCGTTTGTCTTTACCCTTGAATTTATTTTTCGCAAATTTTCAACGTATTTAAATGTACACAACAAAATGTAAACAACAAAGCTATTTATGTCAAATATCGAAGAAACAGGTTTTATTGAAGATTTAAACTCGACTGCAGTTTCTTATAAACCTTTTAGCTTGTTTAGTTCATGTGTTAAAAAAAAAAATTATCGGAGTAATTGTGAGTAATTGTAACCTTACTTATGGTAGTACAACATGATGTCAAAAAGTAATTGAGACCTGGCTAATGGTAGTACAACATGCTGTCAGAAAGTAATTTTGAGACCATGCTAAAGGTAGTTCACATAACATGTCCCCTTTTTCAAGTTAGCGATTTATATAATGTCAAAGATGGCCAACAAACCATTCGATGTTGTTCAACTGAAAAGCATACATAGAAGTGTGGGTTTTACATTTTGTGTATGCCAGAAGCGCTTAAGAGCAAGGGTGCAAACCAAAACAAAAGAACACTTGTCAAATTATCAACACAATTTACTCTATATATCTTTCTAGATATATTTCTTCCACAGTTACAACCTCAATTACCCAACCTATGGATCAATGAATTATCCAATCTCTTAAAGCAAAATATCGCTCACTTGATAAAAAAGCAGAAAAATATACGGAAACTATACCTAAACTTTTGTTCCATACTATGTTAATAAAGTAACTAATAATATATTGAATAAATCACGACCAATATCAAAGTTCAAATGACAAATAACAAAGTTCAAAAAGTAGACTAATGTAGAGGATTGATAATTTGGAGCAAGTTTTTATAGATAAAGATGCATTAATCAACGATTTAAAGTTGAAACACTGGGAAAAAAAAGTTTGTTTAAATGATGCTAATATTAATAAGAGTACTAAGTACAGTAATTTTGCGACAGCCTCAGCCAAACCTGGGTCACAAGCTAATACATCTCTCATTAGTGCAGTATCTGCAAATGCTAGAGCAACAGAAAACAAAATCAAAAAAATTGTGTTTTTAGGCTTACCTGTTCCAGACACCAAAGACCAGTCAACTGCAGAATCCATAGTAAATGACAAAGTCAAAAAAGAATTTAAAAATTTTTGCATAAAGGTTTAAATATATAAGAAACATTTAAATCTTAATGCTAAAATTACAAGTACTCATTTAATTAAAACAAAATTAAAATTGGGCCATGATTCAACCTCAATAAATAATCAAACTCCGGTAATAGTGGAATTTGACAATGTAGAAAAAAAAGCACTGTATTAGCAGCTGCAGCAAATCTTGCGCAAACAGATCACAAGAACATTTTTATTCGACCCGATAAAACGAAAGAAGAATATAATAAGACTAATAGTAAAAAGAAAATCGCTAATAAACGATCTTAAAAGACGTTGAAATTTCAATAGGCCCTATTGGTTCGTCATCCGCAGTAAAAAAGTTCGCTGCATCGATGTATTTAGGACCCTTGAAATCAACGGCCGACCCAAACATCGGTTTGTGGATTAGAAAATCTAAGTGCACAATCTGCACCATGAGCAGTAGTAAAAACAACTGATCACTTTCAACCAAATTTAGCCAACAAGATGTTTTATCCAAGCTAATAATACCATGTAACAAATTTTCACTTTTGTTCAGTTCCTGGGTTGAAAATGTGTTTTCCTAACTCGTTAGATCCAGTATATCGTTGTTATACCAGAAAAATTTTGCATCTGTGACCGGGACATGGAAATTTGGAAAATATATACTTTCCAACCAGAAAGACATGAACAATTTGAATTGGGACCTCGAGCTTATGAAAAGGAATATTTAGCTTCTGATACCAGTCTCAAACAGTGGAACTTATTTGATGATATTGTACAAGTCACCAATTAGAGGAAGCGGCATCAATGATTTTCAATCTTCTTTAGTCAATGTGATGGGTTGTGCTTCTGCAACGATGTTATCGGTCTATTCCAGGCTATAGGTATCGCATGTAATCCTATTGAATGGTGACTATTCATAGTCAGTTTATCTCGGAGTCTTTCAAAATAGAAATAACTACCCGTCTTTTTCGACGGCTCACTCTGTGCATCTCAAAGAGGTTTCAAAATGTTGCTGAGTGCATTAAAGTATGACGACTACGAATGGGAAGTAATCGGTGGCTTACTTCACTGCTCTTGATAATGAGTCAGCTGCATTTAATACCTCCAAAATCTTTTTCCACAGTTGCCAACTCTAAGGTCAGGGCTGCTATATTTGTTGGACCGCTGATCCGAATGATTAAAGAATACGAGGATTTCGCAAAGCTGTTGAACAGGATGGAGAGTGCTGCTTGAAGCAGATTCGTTGCAGTTGTTCAGGGTTTCCTAGGTAATCACAAAGCTGAAAACTATGTGGAGTTGTTGCAGACTCTCATAAAGAATTATGCCAAAATGGGATGCAGAATGTCTCAGTCCATATCCTTGATTCACATTTCAAAAAATTCAAAGAGTTGGGGCTTATTCCGAGGAACAAAGGATTACTTGGGGCTTATTCCGATTGGGGATTACTTGGGGCTTATTCCGAGGAACAAAGGATGAGGGACTTAATTTGGGGGCTACTTCAAGAAAATGATCATAAATCTAGAAAATCTAAACATTTCTGAACCTCGTTGACTTGTTTCCGACTGTGTTGTTTATTTCTTGTGCAATTTTTGTTTTTACCTGATCATAATGACGGAAATGAAAAAAAATTGTTTTATTTTCACAAAAAAACAAGTTTTCTTCGTGCTGTTGTTTTGTAAGCAATATTTGTGTTTAATGAAGTTAAACACAAGTTAACACTTAGAAGCCTGGAAAAAATTTTTTGTTACACAGTGTAATACTGTCATAACTAGCTAAAGGTCTTTTAACCGACTATGTCACATTGTTGTTACACTTACGCCACATCACTTAATAACAATATAATACAATTAAATGCTTTGGCAAACTCACTAAAACTAAACATAATTGCCTTCGCCGAAACGTGGTTCTTCGAAAATAAATGCACTCATTTAACAAATAAATTACAAACTGTTCGATAAAAACAGACCCAGTCATGGTGGGAGAGTGGTTACATATATGTCAGAAGATTTCGATTCTTTTGAGATTACCAATATAGCATTATGTAGTACAAAGTTAGAGCAAGTTTAGTGTCGAATCAGATTTAAAAAAGAAACAATTTTATTTTGTTCATTTATAGGCCTCCACCCAAATTAAGTGATACGCAAGATGGTATACAAATACGTGAGGTTGCGGTAAAATGCTCAATTGTTGCAGCCTCAAACTTAGTTAAAAGAGGATGTTTTCGGGTAAGTAATGTTTCGGACTTGGTTACAACAAAACTCTACACTTTTTACATTTTGCAACTTCTATTAGTTTGGCTACTGGTACTTTTTCTTCATTATTGTTTTACTGAAGTTGCTCAGCATTGTTTTAATCAAGCATTTGAGTAATTGGAATAGAGTGTCTACGCTTTGCGTTAGATTTAGCATGTTTAACCTAACATGCAAAAAAAATAAAAAAATGTAAAAGATGCTAGCAACTTTCACAGCATTCTTAGTTGCTTTTTCTTCATCTTTTTGTTTGAGGAACTCAATCACATTTTTTTCGGTAATACATTATCCGCGAAGTTTGACATTATGACACAAAAAACTTCATAAGAAAATATAATTCACTGCTTCAATTTCTTAACATGCGATTGATTTCTTGCTTGAAAAAATTGGTTTACCTCCATCTTGATACTGTTTGCAACGGTCAATACATGCTTGATACCTATCAAAACCTGAAGCTGGCGTAGTTAAGAAAGATGTTAATCGGTGTGTAGGTGCTGCAGTAGCTATTGAATATAATGAAGCTGTGTCTGAGCAAGATGGCGTAGGTGCTGCGGAGGCTGGTAAAGTTAATGATAGTGGATTAAATGTTTGTGTTATTGATAATACCTTATAATTTATGTTGTTTTTATTAAATGGAAATAACCCAGTGTACTGAAAACCAGCGATTGGATACAATCAATCAATCATATATTTTGAAAAATATTTTTCATGGATATTAATCTTAAGGGGGCTCACACCTGTCAAAATAGCAAAAAAATTAGTTTTTTCTGAAATTTTTGGGTTTTTATGTTTCAAGTGTAAAAATTAACGAGAAATCTGATTCTGAACTTAGTAAATAATAATAAAAAAACACATAAATATGTTTTTTTTTTGATTATTTGGTCATAGTAAAAAAATCTTCTTAGCAACGTCCATAGCAACGATTTTATATTCTTCTTTCCTTATCTACAACTTTTTTTTCTATCTGA